AACTGCGAGGATGTCTCAGGCGACGTGGCTATTTCTCTCAAGAAATGTGAGGCGACTTGGCCTATTCTATTAAGAAATGTGAGGATGTCGCAGGCGATTTGACATATTAGTTTTATTAAGAAATGCAAGGCTGTCTCAGCCGATTTGGCCAATTCTACAAAGAAGTGTGCGGATGGCTCAGGCGAGTTGGCCAATTCTATGCAGAAGTATGAGGATGTCTCATATCATGTGGCTAAGTCGATCAAGAAATGTGAGGCTGTTTCATGCGATTTGGCAAGTTCTATTAAGACATATGAGAAAGTCGGATGTAAGTTTGCCAATTCTATTGAGAAGTGTAAGGATGTCTCAGGCGATGCGGCCAAGTCTGTTAAGAAATGAAAATGTCTTAGGCGATTTGGCAAATGCTGATAAGAATTGCGAGGATGTCTAAGGCGATGTGGCCAATTCTAATAATAAGTGTAAGAATGTCTCAGGCGATTTGGCCAAGTCTGTTAAGAAATGTGAGGATGTCCCCAGCGATTTGGCAAATGCTGATAAGAATTGCGAGGATGTCTCAGGCAATTTGGCAAGTTCTATTTGGGAAATGTGAAGACGTCTCAAGCGATTTGGCCAATCCTATCTGAAAACTGAACGCTTGAGCTCTGGAAGGGCGGCAGGCACAGGCAGGAACTCTCCTGAGCACTGAAAGGTTGCCCTAATATTGCCAGGACTGTGAAAAGGCGAGCTGGGGGGGGGAAGGAGGGAGAGGGGGCAGGAGGAGGAGAAGGATTACGCAATGTGAGGATGTCTCAAGCGATGTGGCGACTTCAGCTAAGAAATGTGAGGATGTCTCAGGCGATTCAATTTACTCTACTAAGACAAGTAAGGATGTCTCAGGCGATTCGGCCAATTCTGATATGACATGTGAAGATGCCTCAAGCGATTTGGCCAATTCTGTGTAAAAATAGGGGGATGTCTCAAGCAATTTCGCTAATTCTATTAAGAAATGTGCGGATGTCTGAAGCGATTGAGCAAATTCTATTAAGACATGTGAGGACGTCTCAAGCGATTTGGCCAATTCTATTGAGAAATGTGAGGGTGTCTCAAGCAATTTGGCAAGTTCTATTTGGAAACGCGACGACGTCTCAATCGATTTGGCCAATCCTATTAACAAATGCGTTGATGTCTCAGGCGATTTGGGCAATTGTATTAAGATATGAAAACTTTTGTCAAGCGGTTTGGCAAATTTTCGTAAGAAATGTGAGGACGTCTCAAGCTATTTGGCCAATTCTCGTACGAAATGTGAGGATGTCTCAGGCGATTTGGCCAATTCTGTTAAGAAATGTGAGGATGTCTCAGGCGATTTGGACAAGTCGATTAAGACATGAGGTTACACTGCCCGAGACGGGGCGGTCGTGCAGCACCTTTCGCGCGCCCGTGAACTTGGGGCACACCTAACTACGGCCGCTCCCGGTGCGCCCCAACGGTCGTGGACAGGGCTCAACCGGCGCGGGGATTTCTTTCCCGTCCTGCTCGCTCCGCAAGGCCCTGGCCCCTCAATCGCTCCAGGCGCCCTCGCTGGTGCCGCGTGGGGTGCGGAGGCTTCTCACGTGTCTCGCAACACCACCCTCCGGCATGAACACAGCACCTCCAGTTCTTCATCAGCTCTTCGCTCGCGGAGCTCGGCCGCCCCTCTGCCCTACATCGCAACATGCCCAAGACGTACTCGGTTCCCTAGTTCATGGCGAACTATGACACAGTCCTGCAAGACTCGCTACAGATGCAGCCCGGGTGGGGGGGAGTCGAGTTGCTCCGCGCGCCCATTGCTCGGGCTTCGAGCTGGGGCCGGGTTGCGGCCACGCCGCCTTCGCAAGGTTTTTGGCCAAGCTGGAAGAATGGGCGCGGTAGTGGGGGGTTGCCAGGGTCAGTTCGTGTCTCACCACAGTGGCAGACGACCTTCGTAGCTTCAGTCGCGAGTTCCGCATCGCAGCTGGGTTCCTTACCGCCCACATGGGAAAAAGTGGATTCGAGGGCTTTCGTTTTGCTTGTCCCTGGCTCCTTGCTCTGGGCTTCCCCATCGGATTTTCGGCAGCTGCCCCGTCTCGGCTTCACGCGCGGTCTCGTGGACCTGCAGGTGCGGCAACTGGCGGCCAAGCTGTGCGTCGCGCGTTTGGAAGCGCGGGCCTCGGACGGTCTCGACGTGAGTCGAAGGGCGGCTGGAGTCCGCAAGTGTCGGCTCAACGTGGACCGCGTCCACGTGTCCGCAGCGTGGGCCGACTGGTTCCTTCTCTTCTCCAGCGGGATGGCGCCGTAGCGGAGGCGCAAACACTTGGCGTCACCGCGGCAATAGAGGAGTTGCGCATATTGGGGGAACTTTGTCGCGAGGCCGTTCACGCATTTACAGGATCGTCGTGGCCGCTGGCAGTTGCAGGCGCGCCAGGCCGCGGTGTGGACGCAGGAGGCGCAGCAAGGGGATTGGGACCCCCCGCGTCCGGCACAGGGTGGGCCGTTGGCGGGCGGAGCTGCCACTGGATGTGCGTTCTGCGCATGGCACGCACATCCTCCGAACCCTGGGCAATAGGGTGCCTGTTCGAGTGTGGGCAGCCTTTTTCGCTGCGCGGCGGACGCGACGGCCCCGCGGGAGCACTGCGCCGAGTGGCGATGCGCGCGCGCGGCGGTCGCGGCGGAGCTCGGGCTGCAGCCGCCGGGCACGACGGAGGCCCGCCCCCAGGGAAAATAATGATAGTAGATGTATGGATCGGGTTACATGTGCACGTGCGTTCGGAGCCCGAACGAAGATACAACTTTGCGAGAAGATGTATGTGCACTAGCTTGGTAGTGTATGTGTACTTGCCGCAATCGGCGCGCAACCGCTAGGACTTTTCTGCTTCGGCGTCTTCAGGCATTTGCTAGAGACAAGTTTTTCCTTTCAGCTTTTGGTGTGCAGACATGCCGCTAAAACAAATTCACCACCAAGGTCGTAGAATTTGTTTGTGGTTGCGAGCTTCAATTTTAGCTTTTTAACTGCAGCTTTATCTCCTAGCTCTAACTTGAGCTTCAGCTGCAACGCGATGGCGCCGTAGCGGAGGCAAAAACACTTAGCGTCACCGCGGCAATAGTGGACTTGCGCATCTTGGGGGGAGTTTGTCGCGAGGCCGCTCACGCATGTACAGGATCGTCGTGACCGTCGGCAGTTTCGGGCGCCAGGCCGCGGCGTGGACGCAGGGGGCGCAGCAGGGGGATTCGGGGCCCCGCGCCCGGCGCAAGCTGGGCCGTTGGCAGGTGGAGCTGCCGCTGGATGTGCGTTCTGCGCATGGCACGCACATCCTCCGAACCCCGGGCAATAGGGTTCCACTTCGAGTGTGGGCAGCGGTCTGGCGTGCCACGCGGAACGGCTGGCCGACAGCCCGGCGCACTCAGGGCCGCGAGGGCCTTCCCAGCAGCCTCTTTCGCTGCGTGGCGGACGCGACGGCCCCGCTGGAGCACTGCGCCGAGTGGCGATGCGCGCGGCGGCCGCGGCGGAGCTCGGGCTGCAGCCGCCGGGCACGACGGAGGCCCGCCTTGAAGAAAAGAAGGAGAATAATAAGAAGAAGAATGATGATAATACCTGCTTCTTCACTGCAGTCCTCGGAATACGTGCGAAGTGCGCTCGGATCCCGAGCGAAGATACAAATCTTCGAGAAGATGTATCTGCACTAGCGTGTTACTGCATGTGTACTTGCCGCAATCGGCACGCAGTCGCTACGCCTTTTCTGCCTCAGCGCTTCTGACAATTGCTAGAGAAATCTGGCTATGTAATGTTCAACGTATGATGTGTAGACATGCTGCTACAGCAAATCCACCAACGCGCTCGTAATTTTCGGTGATTGCGAGCTTCAACTTTAGCTTTGGCTTCAGTTCTCGCTTCAGCTTGAGCTTCAGCTTCAGCGTGATGGCTCCGCAGCGGAGGCAAAAACAATTGGCGTCACCGAGGCAACAGTGGAGTTGCGCATCTTGGGAGAGTTTGTCGCGAGGCCGTTCATGAACTTACGGGGTCTTCGTGACCGTCGGCAGTTGCAGGCGCCAGGCCGCGGCGAGGATGCAGGAGGCGCAGCAAGAGAATTTGGAGACCCGCGCCCGGCACAAACTGGGGCCGTTGGCGGGTGGAGCTGCCACAGGATGCGCGTTCTGCGCATGGCACGCACATCCAAATCCTCCGAACCCTGGGCAATAGGGTTCCACTTCGAGTGTGGGCAGCGGTCTGGCGTGCCATGCGGAACGGCTGGCCGACAGCCCGGCGCGCTCAGGGCCGCGAGGGCCTTCCCAGCAGCCTCTTTCGCTGCGCGGCGGACGCGCCCGACCCGCTACGCCGAGTGGCGACGCATGCGCGCGGTGGCCGCCGCGGAGTTCGGGCTGTAGCCGCCAGGTACGACGGAGGCCCGCCTGGCGAACTCCCTTCGGCACAAACGAAATGCGTACGGAAAGAATGGGTACGATGCCCAACAACAGTTCCTGTTCATTTTGAATAGGGTTCGCTGTCCGCGCCGCCGCGACCTGTGTCCATTTGAGACAGAAGGCCGCCTGCCCAACAGCGGCCGCTGTTGGCTTGGGACAGCAACTGTTGTTGGGCATTGTATGAATTTCTTCCGTGCCCATTTCGGGCGTCCACATTCTTCGGGTTGGATTTCGGTTTGCAGGGCGACTTCGACGCGGCGGTCCCCGTGGCCTTGCGGACGGCCGCGGTCCACAAGGCGCATTGCCTGTGCCGGCACGGCCGCCTTCGCTGCGGTCCTGCCGCAGCGGAAACCATGCGGCAGACTTTGCAAGAAGCCGTCCACGGCTATCGCGGGGCGGCTGGGGCGCATGACGCAGTGCAGGGACGGAATTGAGTCAGTTGCGATTGGAAGCAAAGTTGTTGCTTCGTTCTCTCTCCCTCTTCCCCGCCCTGTGCTGAACGACCGCAGTTTTTCGGTTGGGAATTCGTGAGTTTACCCCGACAGCTCATTCAGCCTACGGCGTCCCGCTGGTTTCTGGCCGTTTCCCTACCTTTTTCCCCCCTCCGCCGTCTGGTCGTCCCTCCCTACCTTCCTCCCTCCTTCCTCCGCGGTGCCGCGGCGTCTGGCAATCCAGGCCAGCCGGCGCGTGCCAGCAGTGGCCTTGCGCGCGCCGGTGGTGACAGGCCGTTTCCCCTCCCTCCCCTCCGTCGTCCGCCGTCGGTGTCCCTCCCTCCCTCCCTCCCCCTGGTGGAGCCGCAGCACCTTGCAGACCCGGCCGGCTGGAGGGTGCCACAGCTTGTGCCGCGGGAGCGCCGTCGGTGGCACGCCAGTTTTCCCTTTCCTTCCGCCCCTCCGTCGTTCGCCGTCGGTGTTTTTCCATCCCTCCCTCCCTCCCTGCACCTTGCTCCGTGGATGGATCTGCAGGGTCTCGCAGTCTCGGCCGAATGGCGTGCGCCAGCTGGGGCCCTGGGCGCGCTGCTCGTTGCAGGCCATGTCGTGTGACCCCCAGCGGCTGCTATCCAGGGCGGCCCGGCGGAGTAGCATCGAGCATGGGACGCGCCACATTTGGTTGGGCATGTCCATCCCTCTGTCTTCCTCTCCCCCATGCGGGGGACTTGGCGATATTCGCCGGATGCATGCGCGCGCGGCGCACGTCGTCGGCCTTGCGACCGCGATCGGCCGACCTCGCGGCCCCGATCTTTTCGGCCCATCTGCCGTTTCACGGCCTGCGTGCCCACCACGCGAAAGGGCGCTGTGGTGGGGCGGTATTTTTTTTTACCATAAACATCGCTTCGTTATTATTCATATGTTGGTGAGTGATTGCGCCCAACTTGCCATAGTGCTGGCCTTGGCTATTTCTGTTTTGTCTTGCTTCTTGTTCTCCCTTGCCTTCTCCCCTCTTTCCTCCCAGCGCTGCATTCCATGTTCTGTTTGAATGCACTGTTTGTCCAGGCGCCCGCCTGGAATAATTTCGGTTACGTGCGCAGGACGGCCTGTCTTGCTTCGTGCGGTGTGAGTTCACTGCCCGTTGTTCCTCCCCCTTTCCTCGTCCCCTCCCCCTCCTCCTTTTAAGTCTCTCCTCCTCCTCTGCCCTCTGGCGCTGATGCGTTTTATTTATAGATATACATATGTGTGTATACATATTTATATATAAATATATGCGAATCCGTATCGTTCCATGCTCTATTTCTGATGGCCGCGGCGCAGTGAATGACGAATGGATCGGCTGTACAACATCAGACTTGCTAGTACCATGTGTGCCCAGAGGCGGAGGGGAGGAAAGAGCCGTAAGGATCTGTGTGCCCAGAGAGGCCGATGGCAACGGTCGAACACAATGACAACGCCTTCCAGCCGCTCCTCCATACTCCCCCCTCGCCTTCTTGAGCCCTTCGGTCCTCCCTCACCTAATCCTCGATCGTTCCTCATTTTTGTTGACGCTATGCAACTCCGCAGTGGCGGCTCCACCGACGCCACCATGTTCACCACGATCGCGAAGCTGCTACGGTACCACTCCTACAGTGGGAGCCCATGTCAAGAAATTTCCGTGTTGCCTCCAGGGTGCCCTGGGTTTCTCGGGTTTAGATGGTTTTGCGATGGAAAGCGTGACGTTCCCACACCAAAAACCAATGGAAGTCCTTGGGTCCCAGGGTTGGGTTTCTTGTGGAAGGTCTCTTGTGGGCTGGCCTCCGCTGTAAACCTCTACCGAGGAGAACACAAACCTGAGTGAGCAGGTCGGCAGGACGAAGGACAATCAGCAACAAATCCCTGCGTGATCGTTGAGTGTCTCGCGACGGTGTCTGATTCCCCCTGCGTCGAGGCGCTGGGCTCTAGAGGGCTGGAAGTCATCGACGTCTCTGACACTACCCGCACCAAGGCCAATGAGGCTTGCGAGAGGGCGCGCCGGTTCGGCGCGCTAGCATGCCGCGCGTGCGCGGTCGGCCCTTTCGCCACGCAGTGTTGTTTGCTTCCTTCTCTCCCCTCTTCGCCCCCCCTCCCTCTCTGTCGTCCTGTGGGCGTTTTCTGATGATTCCAGGCAGGATCCACAGAAGAATCCGACCCCACCGACACGCAGGCCGTGGAGCAGTTGCCGCTGGACTGCGGCGGGAGGAGATCAGTAGTCGCTCTGCCCACGCCCACGGTGGGCACCGCGGAGCGGTTGCTTTTCCAGCAGCATGCCAGTGCAGCGTTGCCCCTCAGCATGTCGGAGCCATGAGTCCGAGGCGGGGATTGATTGGTCCATAACCAGCGCTTGGGGGAATCGATCGGACCTCGGCAGTCGGTTTCTGGATATATTCGGGCTCAGGGGGGGGCGGGGGGCGGCAGATGTACCCATACACACCGTTTGACGTGGTCTACGAAGGTCGATCCCCAAGACGATGGTTATGGATACATCCCAGCCTCGCAATGCGGGAAGCGGTGCAGAAGGGTTGCCATAACTCGGCCTTGGCCCCGAGAGAGTGCACCGCCATGGTACAGACCGACACCGAGATGCGTACAAGGCACACAGTTTTCGGAAGCAGCTCGAGCTCGAAACTGGGCTAGATCGTTTGCATTGATTTTCCCTCCTGCTCGAACAACTGACTGAGCTCGGCAATCGAGCGGCACTTAGCCGACCTGTGCACCCAGATCGGTAGGGCATCCATCGCCGCCCTGGTTGGCACCCCTTCGCCAGCGCTGAGCCTGCGGGGCCTGCATAGCGCACCGTGCCTGCATGGTCTGCGGTAGCAGGTCAGCAGGTTGTCCCAGCCGTCGTTGGTCGGTGGGTGGAACAGCTCGACGCCGCTGGGCGTATACTGTACCACCTCAGCTCCAGAGCCTGTCGCTCTCGTAGCCGCCAACGCAGCTGCCAAACGGGCTCCATTCGCGCCAAAATGGCGCGTCCTGGCCTTAGCCTTCGCCTTCGCCACGGGCTCCTTCTCGAAGGTGTCGAGCAACTCCTCTCCTGCCTGGTCCAGCTCCTTCTCGCGTTGCTCCATCGCGCGCTTGGTGAGCTTCTTGCCGGCCACGAAGTCGGGGTCGTAGCGCAAGGCATGAACTCCACGGCGTAACGCATCCGCCATCATCTGGCGCGCCGAAAGCTTGGTGAGCTCGTCCGTCATCTGCTGCTGGGTGTTCACCCACTTCCACCCGGCGTTGACCTCCGCCAGCTGCTCGTTCACGATCTTCATCTCGATGGCCGTCCTCTTCTCTGCGATGCCCAACCCCGCCGTAGCTGACCGCGAGGCGTCGTAGAGGCACTTCGCGTCTGTGATGAACGGTGACTCTCCGAGCTATGTCATGGCGGCGTCATGTCCGAGGTCGGGCCTCAGACTCAGGGCCAAAAAGACCTTCACCCACATCAGCGAGTCGGCTCCCATCGCCGCGGCTTGTGCCTCGGCGGACAGTGAGCTCTTGCACAACCGCACCAGCTTCTTCGAGGCCCACTCCATGGCCACGAACGGCGTCGGGGCGCCGGCGCCGACACCTTGGATTCCTTCGGCAAAAGGGCCACTGCCGCAACCGACGCGTGCATCCCGACCGCCAGAGACCCGAACGAGGGCCGCGAGCTCAATAAAGCAGCCGTAGTTGATGAAAAAACACATTGTTACCGCTCTCCTTGTTTTCCTGGCCGCGACACCTTGGATTCCTTCGGCAAAAGGGCCACTGCCGCAACCGACGCGTGCATCCCGACCGCCAGAGACCCGAACGAGAGCCACGAGCTCAACGAAGCAGCCGTCGTTGATGAAAAAACACATTGTTACCGCCCTCCTTGTTTTCCTGGCCGCGACACCTTGGATTCCTTCGGCAAAAGGGCCAGTGCCGCAACCGACGCGTGCGTCCCGACCGCCAGAGACCCGCCAGAGACCCGAATGAGACCCGCGCGATCAATAAAGCAGCCGTGCTTTATGAAAACATACACATCGTTACCGCCCTCCTTGTTTTTGTGGCCGCGACGCCTTGGATTCCTGAAGCAAATCGGCCGCCGATGCAACCGACGCTTTTGTTTCGACAGCCTGAAGTCCAGAAGAGGGCCGCCGGCGAGTCCGAGCAGCCGTAGCTGATGAGAAAACATATCGTTGCCATTCCCCCCGCCCCCGTCGCCGCCAGACCTTGGATTCCTTGGGCAAATGCCACAGGCACGAAAAAGACCAATCAGAAACATGTAGTAGCAGCTGTACGTGCTGCGGGATCCTGGGTTCCGACAGACGTGCCATTTTGGCTCAAGGCGTCCGCCGCTCCTGCGGGCAACAGGCGCGCTGACGTTGACACCCTCCCCTGCAAGGCTTCCAAGCGATGGCCGCCCGCGGCGTTGTCGCCGAGGCAGCCAACGTGCCCGCCCAAGGCATGAAGTCGCTCGGCGTCCACATGTGCGTCGAGGGCATGACGAGCGACGTGCTCGTTGCTGCGTGGGATAGGGCGAAGAACTTGAAAAAGGCCACCCCCCTTGGCAAGCCGAAGATCGACGGCAGTCTCGACCGCAAGGGCTCGGTGGACGTTTACGACCTGCCCGTCAAGCCATGGAGCGCTCGCGGCAACGCCTCCATAAAGTCCGTTGTCGACATCGTCACTGACGTCGACGCCGCCGAGATGGCCGCTGTGGACTGGGCCAAGGTCAAAGACATTATGGCAGAAGGCAAGTACAAGGAATTGCCGCCGCCGTTCTGCTTCAGCGACCCGGAGGCAGAGCCCCCTTGCACGATGAATCTTGCCGTCACACAGAGAGTCGCAGACGGACTCCCAATCGTCGTGAAGTGGATTCAGTTCATTGGCGGGGAGAAGAGCCCCTTCGTGAGGGACAGCATTATCCGCGGCAACATGCACGTTTTGGACTGGCGCAAGGACGTGTTCAACTCTGCCCGCACGATGCAGATCCTGTTCGAACGCCTCGGTGGTGTCCAAGCGCGATACTGGGAGTTCGTGAGCGCGCCCGCGCCCAGAGCTGGCGGCGGCGACGTTGACGTCGATCAGAAGAAGAAGGAGCTCTCGGCGGGCATCCAGCACATTAAGGACGAAGCCCCACGCACAAATGCTGACTGCGAACAGCTGGAGTGGGTAGAGTGCGAGCTGGTGGACCCTTCGTCGCCAATTCACAACCTCAGGCGGGAGCTCATCAACGCGGTCCTCAAGGTGCTGCGGGACCGCGACCATTTCGCCAACAAGCTGGTATACTACCCCATCCTGCTCCCAGATGTCCGCGATGAGTACCAGGGCGCCATGCGGCGCGCCATGGAGATGCTGGACACCAACACCGTCCTGTGCGTGGGCGAGGCGGGCTTCGGCAAAACGCCGTTCATGATGTCGATGGCCATGGCCAGCGCCAGGCACAACGCCGACGCGGAGAACAGGGCGACTGGCCGCGCCGACGCGGTGGCCGCCGTGCGGACAGCGCCCGACATGGATTTTTTCCGCGGTGAAGTCGGGCAGCGCTGGGTCCCTTGCATCTTCGACGACGGTGACCTGGCGGAGCAGAGGCCCAAGGTGTTGAAAGCATTCTTCGACACCACTCAGGCGGAGGCCATGACGTACGTCAGGTGGGGGGCGGCGAAATTCGTCCGCGGGCAGGCCCGCTTCGGCGGGGAGAACGAATACGACGCCAGCGCAGC